TGGTTTTGTGGGGGAGGGGGGGGGGGGGGGGGGGACAAACATCCATTCTTAAGGGCTTTCTCTTGCACATTTATCACACATCGAAATTAGTAAAATGCCAAATTATGTAGAAAGCAAAGTAAAAGATGCATTAACAAAGAACCCAAAATTGATATTTCATAAAAAAATCAGTTATTTCAATAATTGCAACCTATCTCTATATATTTAGCAATTTTCCATTTGCAAATACATTTTTCTCATTGTCTTTTCACGCTGCATATAATTATGGGTTATATAGCCAATAACCGCATTAATACTCCTCTCACTCTTTTAGGAGTTAATATTTTTTCGAGATTCAAACTAGAGCTCTTTAGTAACCTTCAATAAATAAAAGAAAATAGAAAAGAAAATTGATTGTTGATACAGGAAACCACAATAATACATAAAAAAAACCTTGAATAATAATATCTCCTTGGAGAAAAAAATAACCATCCCCCTCCCAATTATATTTTGACTCTATTGTTTATATAATCATCGAATTATAAACTACTCTGTTGATTGTAATTAACAATATATGAAGTAATTTTGAATTGGGTTTAAAAAGTGTCTTTAACATATTAACCATTTACCAAAAATGTGAAAAAAACAAAAAATGTTCAAAAAGCTTATAAAATCCCTCTGAAAAAAAAAATCTAATTTTAAAAACATGACTTACCAATGAAAACCCTCCAATACATACAATACATCATTAAAAAACTATTTTTAAAGTATTACAATTAGAAATAACGATGTAATCAAATCTATTCAATCAAAAAAGTTTCATGAAGTAGTTAGATGATGAAATGAACTAAAAAAATTGTGGAATTATGTATGCAAATAGCGTTTAATAGTTTGAAGGAGAAAGAATAATTCTGATTATAGAATTTGAAGTTCCTAATTATCCATATGAAAGGAGAATGACGAATCTCCATCTAGAAGTTGTTCAAAATGGAAAAAGAAAAGAAATAAATAATATATTCTAACCCTCATGCAAAAACTTACCTGTCACGAATAAGAAATTAGGCTTCATAAAGCCAGCCGCAAATAGTTAAGATGATACCAATCATAACGTGATGAAATATGAGTTTTTAAGAATGATTTGTGAAGGATTCGTTTAACATCTCAGATAGCATTCAGTAAAAATGAATGAACATTTTATTTTGTTCCATATGCGCCATTGCTCTCGTACGTGAACTTTTCATTAATATTAGGTATCAAAGATATGCCGTGCTATAAAAAAAATGGGAAACAATGACTTCTGAGAATGGAAAGAGGAAATCAGCAAACTTGATGACAATGACTTATAATACTTATAGATATAAATGAAGAATCACCTGCACCAAAAAAAGTAACATTGATATTTCTCAGAGATGAAACCAACAATAAAAAAACAAGAAAATTAGGATCTTCACAAATAGTTGTTAGGCATTGTTGTCTAACTAATAGAGAATGTTGTCTTCAACAATCTGCACAATAGAATAATTGCAATGATGTAGCTTTGATAAACAAGTATGAAAAATCTTTAGCATTGAATAAGGTATATCTAATTAGTACAATCTTCAGTCTTAAGATGGTGGAAAATGCTTTTGTAACAGAACATATCAATGAATTCAATCAAACAAAAAATTGGTTGACTTTAGTAAATATCAACTTTGGCAACAAGTTCAAAACTTGAACTTGTTCTCATAACTTATGCAAAGCTATGAGAAACTGTGATGACGATTAGCTGTTCATGAGAATCTGTAATGCTAAACTCAAAGATGTTTCCAATTTAATCTTAAAGAGGTACATTGAGAGATGAGTATCAAGATAAGGATCCTCTTTTGCTTTGTGTGTAAAGGGAAACAACAATGAAGGCATATTTTAAATATCAAAGAAGCCAATCCAATGTCTGCCCAATGAAAAGAGTTTCAATGAGCAAAAGCTGCGAAAACTCATATTAGAAGTATGTACCTATGAATGTTGCAGCTAAAGAGATATGTGAAGCGCAAATGCCTTCTGCAATAATTATATTGCATTGTGAAGCCACAATACATGAACATCTGGATTTTCACTTTACCCAAAAATTTTGAGTACTTATTCTTTAGAATATTACAAAATTATTTTACTTCTTGATGGTAAGGCTTTAAATATTATAGGAGTTGGTGTTATGCAAATCAAAACAATGAATGAGCCAACATGAAAGGTACAAAATTTAAGGCATATTACATGTTTGATGAATTAAAAAAATATACAAACATACAAACATAGACACATACACTAAATTCAATGGGCAAGCTTTGCTTTTGAATTTTAGTTTTCGTGAAGGTTAGCATTAGCAAGCCGAGGATGGTCTGTTTCACACTGATTGAAAGAGAACCTAAGACTACGAAGTAAAATATTATACAATATACACATCAACGGATATACCATCTTCAATGCCATCATTTAAAGGCTAATTGTATTACAACACCTTCATTGATCATTTAACTGGAAAGCTTCGGTTTATTTTTTGTAAATTAAATTACTATATTTGTTTTTTCTTCAAGAGATGGAAAAGCCCAACAGAAAATAAGCTAAGTTATAAAATCAATGCCTTAAGGTCAAATAACAAAGGGAACAAATAAAAGCAAAGAATTTAGCAAATTCTGCACAGCTGATGCATATATAAAGAAGATGCATCCAAGAAGCATGATAGGATAGTATCGTTGAGCCCAAGAACAAAATTTGATTCCCTATATGAAGAAGCTAGAAGCAAGAGGTTGCATGGTTCTATAAATTATTAAGCAGAAAACAAGGGAATAATTTGAATGGTTCACTAAGATAATGCTCAATATGTAAGACAAATAAAATAAAAAGGCCATATATTCTGTAAAATGCATGAATTCAAGGAAAGTCATAGCACTACTAATTTATACTGACAATATCATTATGATACATAGTGTCAAAGAAGCAATGGAGAGTTAATGGAAAGTTGACTGAAAGAATTTGGAGAAAAAAATTTGGCAAGGTAAGGTATTAAAGTTGAGGAATATTTTATAAAGGAGAAATTTAATGGTGAAATAATTTGTATTCCATTTGCAGCCACAAGTGAACAACTTACAACATACACGCCAAAGGATAATTAGGTGTGGTCATTTAAAAAATTATCAAGCAAGCTTGAGATGGATGGCATCCATCCATTTATTTAATGAAGAGTATGGAATTGCCCATGTGAAACCGACATAGGCTCATTTTCTTGTTCGAATCAACATTTTGGAATTTGAGTTTCGTTTGTTGTTATGTTTGGAGAGACATGATAAATGCGATGATGTTTCACCAACCATTTTAAGTGGATTTATATGCATAAAATTTCTTCTGCAAGAATTTTTGCTTGCAAAAATATTTTTTAGCAGGGCGTTATTTCCCGATGGGATCATCAAGATGATTCAAGTGAGTCTACTCACGTACGAATCAGGCTTCATTTGGCAAAGAGAGCGGGAGCTGTTGGGGAGAGAGAATGAGTTATTTGCAAAATAGCCTCTTCATGTGGCAGGTGTCGTGGATTAATCGGCCCCCGCTCTATTTCTCCCTCTCTCTCATGAACCTGGACAAAAAAAATAGAGAGAATCCAATTACTTTTTTGCAAAAAATCTCATTTATCTCCTTTCTCCCATAATTGATCGCCACATTTAATTCCTTCCCTTTTCTCCTAATAACCTGAACACCTCTCTCTCTCTCTCTCTCTCTCATGTGTTGGAAAATAAAAAGAAGTAATTTTTCAAGAACCCCCACATCTCAATTGTGGGAAGGCAATACTAAAAAAAAAGGCCCTTCCTATTTTTTGTCTATGGTGCTCTCCTCTAGCCCATCTCTCATTTATTCCTCCACCCATCCACTTTCTCTATATTTTACATCCCAAGCCGCAAGACTCTTTCTCTCATTGCTCTCAATATCTCTCTCTGGTCACTCTCTCATTTCTCATTCAGGCGGACAAAGATAGCCAAGGGAAGAGTCGAGGGTTCTCTCTCTCTCTCTCTCTCTCTCTCTCTCTCTCTCTCTCTCTCTCGACTCATCTAGCAAACCCAAAAAAAAAACACATATCCCTCTCGTATTTTTACAATCTCGCCGATCGTTCTATCCTGCTCCCACACCTTTAGCCATACTTCTCCCCTCGCTTCACCATTTCGAGTACACATAATGTCGAATCCCACATTCATATGGGCTCTAACATAACTCAAGTGCCACTGTTTCTCTTCCATAAGTCAATTCAAAGCATAAAAAGGTCTTTTTTCTTTTTGTTTTGCCTTCCAACAAGAGAGACGAGAAGGGGTCGTGCAAATTTACTCATTTTCATTTTTCTATGTGTGAGAGAGAAAGAGAGAGAAAGGTAAGAGATCAAAAGGCATTTAGACTAGGAGGAGAAAATGGAAGGAATTATATGTGGGGACTAGTTATGGGAGAGAGAAGGAGAGAGGATTTTTGCAAAATGTCATTGAATACTCTACCCTTTTTCATCCAGGTTCACAAGATGGGGAGACGAGGGTAAAAGAGAGTGCGAACCTTTGGAGAGAGAGAAATGGTTATTTGCAAAATAATCTTTTCCTTCCTCTCATGTGTTTGTCATAAAGGGACAAAAAACTTTCTTTTATATG